GATTAACAAAGCTTAGACTAGTATGAGAAGATAAACCCTTGGCATGCTACAGTTAAGAAATAGAGTCTAGGTTTTAAAAGTTCAGCTGGGATTTGCTGTACAAAGAGCAGAGCTCACTGACTCTCTGATAGCTTGTTAACTGTGTGCTTTATTCTGCGTCAGCAAGCAAGCTATTCCCCGTTTAAGGCATTCACAGGACCTGAACATGAACCAAGCTCGCTCCTAGATAGTGCCCCAAGATTAGGCAATGTTTTGAAATAGAGTTGAACATACGTCTTCCATCCTCTGAGGAGTAAGCTATCATTAGTTCTACAAACAGAAAGGAAGAACATGCATTTCCCAGAGAAAAAGGTCCCTGTTTCAGCATATCAAGTCAAAACATCTTAGCAACCTTGTAGTATGCCTTGTTTGCTTTAGCTGCTTATCTCAGGCTACTGAAGGAATCCCTTTCCACTCAATGTTCAGACCACCAAGTGGCTAATGTAAAGCAACTTGCAATACGTAATATCACACCCATACAAAAACTGGATTTTCCATATGACAGAGTCTGACCTGGAGAGATACAGGGTCAGCCTGGTTCTTTCCTCCTGTGAAAGCCAGTGACAAAGGAGACTGCCCAAGTTTGGTGCTCAGCTAGGGATGGAAGAACACCACAATTTCATTTCTGACCGCATCTTCTTTCTATCACCCTTCTTGAATTTGCTCGTTATTTTTTTCTCCTTGTTCTGAATGATGTAGCACTGTACTCATACCTTTCGTTGTCATCTCATATATAGCTGGTTTGTAAAACTTTGGCATCTAAGTAGCTGTGTTGGCCCTGATGGTTTTGTTTCCTGAGTTTCAGCAATGTCATCAGATCACCTGTCAACAAGTGCTACCACGTGTCCTATACGGCCAGTTGTACAGCCATGCACACACCCACGCATCTAAGGGATCTCTTAACATATGGTTGCACCACATCTAGGCAGATTTGGTCCCAGTGTGCATGCATGCAGGCACTCATATCACACATGCACACAAAGCAGGGATGTTGGTTTATTAAGCATAAATTAAAGTATGCCTATGGGCAGTCATGGAAAATTAGGTCATTGCAATAATCACAGGGAATCTCTTGAACAAATTCTAATTTGGCTGAATTTCTTAAAGCAATAGCGTCATGTAATGCTAAACACTGGGTGAAATACCTCTTCTGCCCTGTGCCAAGCAGATTGGCAACACGTGCGCTTTTCAATAATATTCATTATCCTAAATCATTGGTTGTTTTCAGTAACTATGAAAAGAGCAGAAGGAATCTGATCTATTTTACTAAAAAAAAAGACATTGTCTAGGAGTAGGGCATGTCATTGAGAGCTATGTACCATTTGCTGTATTAACAGCAAAGCTGATGGATTCAGGATGGAGAGTGACCTGATAGTTTGGCATAGAGGTTCTTTTCATTAATCTACAAATATTGAGATTATGTTCCAAAAGGCACTCTTTATTTTTGCAGCTTGAGAGATCATAAACACAGTAGATTGGATCATAGTTAAATACAGTAGATCCTTTCAAATAAATGGGAACTATTTTAGTCGTGATTACTGTAAATCCTAGTGGGCTGGATCAAGATGTAAGAGTTAACCCATTACAATCAATGCAGTTTAATGTAATCATGACTAACTTGTTCCATTGGTTTATACTCCAAGGATGAATGTAAATTTGGACCAAGCCTATAGAATTTTTGCAGATTTATTCACCTATCCATAATAACTTGGATGAAAAATTAGTTCAATCATTACTGGAAGGCAAAAAGAAGACAAGGATCTTTAGATATATGCAGGTTGGATATCACAGAGTGAAATAGATAAAATTGAGGTAAATGCTAAACACAGATATTACGTGTATTCTGAAGTGGACATGCCCCCATGAGAAAAGGGACTTCTGAATGTGATTTTGAAGGTAATTGGTGTCCCTTGAAAAGTTGCCTGCAGGTCTACTCTAGGTACTGCACCAAAGATGCTCCATTCATTCATTACATTTCTGTATCACTTGACATCCAAAGCTTCCTGGATGGTTTACAAAGATTTAAACTACCCAAATAGATATACAGCAATAAAATGAGGCCAACAATTAATTTATAAAACATACTTTATGCATAAAGTCTGTGACTATTACCTTTCATTACAACCATTTCAAGATATCCCAGTTTTGCAGCACGCTCATACTTCTGAGAAACCTGAAGTTGTGCATTTCCCTCCATAAAAACGGAGCACAGCTGTTCATCGCTTTCAAGTTTTCTCACCATGAAATCCTGTGAAATCCATCTAAAAAGTGTTTCCCCCCATTTATTTATTTATTTTAGTGGGGGTGGGGGAGAAAATGTTGCTGCATATTATTTTTAAAGATGTTCCCAAAGTGTAGCTTTTACAGGCAATGAAGTACAGAAACTAATCTTGGGATTTTGTAGACTCTTCTGGTACACATGGATCATGGAGGGAACATCTCTTTCAGCCTGAGGACTGCATTCATTCTAGAAAAGTTCTAGAAGGTCCTATTTTAGTAGTAGATGGAGCCAATAACCAAAGGATGGGGTCACAAACACACCAAGTCCAAGCATATTTAACTTTAAGTGTTTTCTGCTAGTAATTAAGCTTCAAGAAAAGCAGCATTTTGACCATTTAGAATGCAATCCAATTGGGATGCCTATGAAGCCCCCAAACTCAGAAAGCTACAGGCATGGATCAGGAGTTATTTTCAGCTCGCAGTACTCCTACCCTGTATTTTTGCTACATTGGCTTTTTTTGTCTATCTGGCTAAAGCATCTCACTGGGGGTGGGAATGAAGTTGGAGTGACTTCAGGATATCCCAAATCCTGGCTTCCCCAGTCTCTTCCTTTCCCTGCATCCACAAAGCCCCTCTTTTATTTCTCTCTGAAGTAACTTTCCTGACCTTGAAGAGCAGCTGGAGCAGTCCTCGCTACACGAGTTACAAAGCATGGGAGGAGATGGACTTGGAGCTAATTTCCAGCTCAGAGATCAGACTGCTGTGTCCAGTCATGGATCTGGGAATCTGAAAGAATCTGTTGCCCTACAGATGCTGCCTAGGGACCATAGCATCACTGTCTCCAAGTAGGGAAAGGAATGTGAAAAAACTGGAAAATCACATGTTTTATCAGGAAAAAGAAGCATGGTCCTCTGGGGATCCCAAAGGGCCAGATATGACCCTCAGGAGGCCTGAGGTTACCTGGCAAAGACACAGTCTTCAGAGAAAGAGCTTATGAATATAGGCCACTTTGACAGTGTAGGGACCGACAAGAAAGGTGTGGCAACCGTGTCATCTTTGACAGGTATGAAAGAAGACCCAGAACAAATGATGATACAGCAGCGTTTGAGGTTTTGTAACCAACAAGATTCACAGAAAAGTTCTAAACTCTGATCTTGTACATAACTGTAAAAAGGGGGAAAACACAGGATTTTAAGAATATTTATTGTGCATGATTCTGTATTTATTTTTATACTTCACAGTAAGCACAGATATGTAGGCATCTATAGAATAAAGGATATGTGCTTTAGCATACCCTGAGCATTTGTCATGTCTGAAAGCCACCAAGTGCCAGGATATTAACATAATGTATGAAGTGACTTCTGCAAGGATTTGATATGAAGCCTAGGATCCAAGTATGAACCACTTAGCACTTAATTAGAAAGGTGGCAACCGCTCATTTGCCAGGTCTTCTTCAATGGTTCCAGCAAATATCTACTGAAGAGTCTTTCACAAACAGAGAAATGACAACTATCTGAGGAAATGACTGCTGGGATTCATTTTTAGAACCAATTTTTCCCCTCTATTATGTTGTTATTTTACTGATAGTCATTGGCACAGACAGAAAGCTCCCAGGTGTGAGGCTGACAGACAATGCACATTGAGGAGATCAAAGAAAGGTAATAACAAAAGGAATTCAAATTTGGTTGTTACCCTACCCTAACTTCCCACTTTTTGGCATATCAGGCACTTTGAAAAGGTCATTATATACAGTGAATTAGATGCAAATATTTTTTACTGCAAGATGTCTCAGCTGCTACTGTTAACTTGGAAATGAATGGGACAAAAACCTTTCTTGGGAAACTGCTATTATGTAAAGACAACCTTATGTAAAGACAACCCTCTTCTCTTGTGTGCTGTGTGACAGAAGACCTACTCACATGGTTCCTTCAAAGTACATTTTGGCCAAGAAAAAACTTGCTGGTGTTAGTTTCCAGCATCTGATCCAGTTTATGGAGAGGCAGTTACATGCAACCATGTTGGTGCATGAGAGAGGCAGCATTAGGCATGCTACTGCAAACTATGTTGCTGTTATCTGTCATCAGGCCGTTTCTGACTTAGGATAACCCTATGAATGAATGCCCTCAAAAATGTCCTATCATGGGCAGCCCTGCTCAGCTTGTCTAAATTCAGAGCTGTGGCTTCTGTTATAGTCAATTCAACTCATATTTGGTGATGGTCGGTAGAGAAATTATGAAACTTAAATGTGAAGGGTATCTACATTTTGTATGCTTTTGATGGGGCACGTTATGTTATGACCTGTGTCACAAGGACCTCCTCTTGCTCTCCTCCCCTCTCCAGCTCACATGCACCCTCAGAACAGCTCCAGAGGATCCCCCGATGCTCTGGAGCAGATCTGTGGGTCCTTGGGTGGGGGGAATGGAAGCTGAAGGAGCAATGAATTGATTGACAGGGAGAAAATAACTCAGGTGGGCAGCGTGGGCTACAACCCATTGGGATTCTTTTGCACTATTTATTTATATATCACCATCACAGAACATGGTGTCTTAATAAACTGCAAAACGACTGATCCCTGCCCCAAGGCGCATACAGTGAAAATGCAGTCGAGGGACCAAAAGAGAGAACAGGGGAAAGAAGAGATCCAAGCTAAGCAGCAGCACAATGGTAACAACGATGATTAATTGCATGTACCCTTTTCCCTCTTGTGAGAATATATATTCATTGCAGTTCTATGTGCTTAGTTGTAGCCCGCCACAAACCAGATGCCCTACCAATGCTTTTGACTACAACTCCCATGATCCCTGACCATTGGCCATGAGGGGTAGGTCTGTTGGGAGCCAAAGCTCAGAACATCGGAGGCCACTGTGCTAGGCAAGCCTGCTGTGGGGAAGTGGTGCCAAAGGTTTCATAAGATGGTGAGTTCTGAGGAGGAATTCAAACGGATTAATGGCTTGAGCCAGAGCATGTTTAGATTCTAAACATTCCTGCAATTCGCAACATACTTCAGCCAACCATGATTTTTTTCTCTCTCGTCAATAGGATTGCACCATCTGGGAAGTGTCCAGCAAGCCACCTGTTCTGGGAAGCCGTTCCAAGAAGAGAGAGAGGCTGGACTGAGCTGAGGACAGCAGCCAGGTCAGGCAGCGTCCCGCTGGATTCATGGCCCTAAGTGGTGGTTTTCTGCTTCTGCCAGCTACTTTCCCTTTTGTTATTGTCCTCCATGAGTCTTGCCTTCTCGTGATGTGCCCAAAATATGACACTTTCAGTTTTGTCACTGTGCTCTCTGGCTTGATATGATTTAGGACTCACTTGTTCATCTTTCTGACTGTCCAAGGAACTCAAAAAGCTGTCTTCCAGCACTATATTTCAAGTACATCATTTTTTTTCTGCCAGCTTGCTTCGCTGTCCAGCTTTTATGGGAATGCAATAGCATGGATGATCTCGGCCTTGGTCTCCAGTGAAACATCCTTACACTTGATTAGCTTTTCTAGTTGTTTCATCACCGCCTTTCTGAGTCTCAAGTTTTCTAATTTCTTAGCTTTAATCTTGCTCTGAATTGATGACTGGGCCAAGGTAAGTAAAAACTTTTATAATTTTCATTACTTCACTGATGATGGTAAAGTTCTGTAATTCTTCTGTAGCCATGATCTTTATTTGCTTGCTGTTAATCTGCAGTCCTGCTTTTGCACTTTCTTCTTTCACTTTCATCAGGACTTGTTCCAGTTCATTGCTGTTTTCTGCCAGTAGTATGGTATCATTTGCTTATCTTAAATGTTTGATTTATCTTCCACCAATTTCACTCCTGCGTCCTCTGATTCTAATCCAGTTTTCCATATAATATGTTCTGTGTACATACTGAACATATAGGGAGGTAAAATGCACCATTTTCTGATGCCTTTTGCTGTAAGAAACCATTCTGTTTCTCCATATTCTGCCATAACTGTAGCTTCTCGTCCACAGAATAGGTTACATATAAGGGCAATCAAATGCTGAGGCTCACCCATTTTTTTTCCAGGACCATGCCTAGCTTCTTGTGATCCATGCAAAGGATTTGCTGTGGTTTATAAAGCATAGATTGAAATTTTGACATTCTTTGGTGTGCTCCGGTATCCAGCATATTTTTGTGCCCTGAGTGCCTCTTCTTTTTTTGCAATCCAGCTTGAACTTCAGGCATTTCATTCCATATAGGGTCATATTCTTTCAACGCCTTAAGCATCACTTGGCTTACATGGGAGATCAATGCAATGATCTCAGGATTGCTGCACTCCATAGCATCTCCTTTCTTGGGGATTGGAATGTATATTGAATGTTTCCAGTCTGAGGACCATTCTTCTGTTTTTCATATTTCTTGGCATAGTCTTGTTGGGATTTGTACTAATTCAGTCTTTGTGAATTGGAATAATTCTTTGGAAGTCTACCTGCTCTGGGTGCTTTATTCCTTCTAAGTACTTTCAGAGCAACTTTCATTTTTCTTTCTAATATTGCAGGCTCTTCTTCATAAGCTTCCTTTTGAAGGAGTTTCTTATCCTTTTATCTCTTCGGTATAGTTCTTTCCGGTATAATTTCAACCTTCTCTTTATTTTCATTTGACCTTCTAGGATGTTCCCTTTTAGTTTTTTAGCACCCCTCATTTAGGTTCGAATTTCCCTGTGATTTCTTGGGTCTTCTGTAAGAGGTCTCTTGTTTTTTCTCTTTTTTTGTTCTGTTCTACATTTTGCCACATTTTTAGAGCTGCTGAAAAGTTGCATTCAGGATTCTGACTATATTCTTGAAACCTTTTGCCTTTGCTTCATGTTTGTCCATAGTAATTTCAAATTTTTTATCTGTCATTAATCTAGATTTTTCTTTGCTTTTGCTACAATAAGTTTAGTCTTTTTGCATTCTTTCCTAATAATGTCTCTAGTTGCAGTCCAAAATTCTTCTGGCTTCTGATCAATTGAGTTCAGTAATGCAAATCTGTTCTTTATGTGGACTATAAATTTCTCAGGAATGTTATCTCAGCTGTATTTTGGCACTATGTTTGTTTTAGTGATCTTTTCCAGCTTCATTCTGATTTTTTAATATTAAGAGTTCACAGTCACTACCACAATCTGTTCCTGGTCCTGTTTTGGCAGCAAGAATACAGCTTCTCCATCTTCTATTTCCAATTATGTAGTCTATTTGATTCCTGTATTGTCCATCTGGCAATGTCCATATATGCAATTGTCTGATTGGTTGCCTGAAACCAAAATCAGATGGTTGGCTTCTCAGACTTCCGTGAGTCATTTTTCTGCTTTGCTTCTGACTGAAGATCAAATTTCCCTCAAAGAATTGATTCTGCTCCCCCCCACCCCCACTATTACATTCCAGTCACCTAGGATTATATGTGTTGTTCTGGTATATTATCAATTTCTCTTGAATGCTTGCATAACGTTTTTCTATTTCTTCTCAGCATCTGTTTTTGGAGTATAGACTTGAATGATGGTCATGTTGACAGGTGTTCCGAGAATTCTCATTGATAGGAATTGGCCAGACCTTGCATTTTGCTCCTTCCTGCCCATTCAACATCTTGTCTCAGTAGCAGAGTTTCTGCATTTCTTCTGAATTTGTCATTTCCAGAGTAAAATGCTCTGGGTTTGTCTGGCTGAAAATTTCAATTCTGATCCACTTTACTTCACTCACACCAAGCACTGTGATATTTAACAATTCAGTTTCTTGCTTTATGGTCTCCAGATTGCCTTGATTCATATGTCTCAGGTTCCAAGTTGCAATTGTATGTGTTATGCAGCACTGGACTTTTCTTTCACCTCTTTGCATGTCCACCATGGGCATTTCTTTTGACTTTGATCTAAATGCACTGTTAGTGATAGCAGTATTTGTACTGGTCCTTTGCTCTTCGCCAGTAGCTAGTTGAGTGCTTTCTGACCTAGGACTCTCACACTTTGGCACAATCCCTTGTTTAATATTTGGATTGTTTCTTCATATGGTTCACACAGTGAGAATATTCAGAAGTGGGTTATCATTGCTGCCTTTTGTGCAGTACTAACCAGATATAGCTTGAGCATCACTGCCATTGTTGGTCAAAGATCCTCTGCTAGTGTTGCCTTCAACTACCTCTGCTGCCCTGTAATTGTCTCTCAGGAATTTTTCCTGCTGCCATCATTACCAATTCTCTTCTGCTGATGTGACTGCTACTCCAGAAGAGAGTAGATGCACCTAAATCTTGGGTGACCCTGCTAGGAGAACTGCCTAATGAGAGCTCCTGAACTCCTGACTCATGGAGTTCCTCATGTCTTCTCTGACACTTTCAAACCTTCTTATCATACTTCAATGTGTATCCAAGAGGGGGACAGCAAACTATGGGCGTGTATTTAATCGTCTCTTTAAAAGGGAGTTAAAATATGCTCAGCTGGATTAGGCCCATGGCTATTTTGAACCGTTGCTGCTTGGTGTCAAAAGATGAAGTAAATTCCAGCTTCAAGGTTCACGAGCAGGGCCAGGAGCCGTCTTAGTCCAGGCGTTTGCCACAGCCAGATGCTGGGATGAAATATGTCCCAAGAAATCCTACATTGTGGGAAACATTACAGGGGTTCCAAGAGCACCTTCTCTCAGTCTCATATAGTGAATGTAGATGCGCCCTGCATGCTTACCAGAGAATAGCCCTAGAAGCCTTATGGAATGGTAGGATTCTGTTTTTAGTAAACACATCTAGCCGGGGTGGGGAAGGGAAATCTGCAGAGGCACCTCAGGAAGCCTCTCTGTCCATTCTCTCCTCACTTCTGCCAATGGCATGCTCAGCCCCCAACTGCTCGGCTTTGTTCCTTCCCTGTCATCTCTGCTGTGGCCCCTTGTATTGCTAACATGTTGTCTCTGGTGCTTTTCTTGGCCCCCTCCACTTTCAGCTTCTTGGCTTCCTATTGGGCAGGAATGGGCAAGTTCCAGGGCCCTAGAATTCCCCCGGAACTCATTTCCAGCTGGCTCACACCACTGGCCCTGAAGACTCTGGTAACCAACAGGAGAATAGGGCTGTTTTTCCCTTTAAAATAAGGACAAACTGACCTTCTTTTGCTGCCCCACTGCAGAGCGTTCTGTTGTGGGAGGAAGGTACCCACTGCTGGGCAAGCAAGTTTTCACTGTGGGTGCGTTTTCTCCTGCTTTTCTTGCACCCGGCTCCTCCACCTCAAACTAGTTTGCTCTCCCACTCTCCTGCTCTCTTTCATTTTCTTCCTTTTACTGTAAGTCACTTTTAGGAGGCTCATTTTTCCTTTTTGGTCTTGCTGCCCTCTGTTGCTTTCTCATTTCTGAATTTGTGATCTGCCTCTCTGTTCTTTCCCTGCCTGCATCTTCAGCCAACATCACACTTGGCGATTGAATCATGAAATTATGGGCAGATTGAAACTCTGGCTTTGCATCCCAACATTATGCTTGCTTGGGTCAAATACGTAACTTACATGCTTTCCCAAGATTTTACTAGACTGCTGGCTTAGGCTTGATTTAGGAAATATTAAAGCGGCTACCTTTTGTTTTTGAAAAGGGAAAGCAGGGACTTTACACTTTTATTGCTCAAGGCTTTACAGTATTGCAGTAAAATCAAATATGCCTGGTACTACAGCCTCACTTTGAAGATTTCAGAGATCATTTCAGGAACTTCCTGCAGGAAGAAGCAAAGCACCTGGCATTTTCAAGATAAGAAAATAATATTAAATGCAAAATCCTGCCACACAGAATGCAGACTAAATAAATGCATGGGCCACTTTTTATGCATCATGGGCAAGTAAGAACAAGCAGAGAAATGTGCTGCATCTCTCTGTTGAAGACATGCACCAGGTAGAACATTCTGTACTGTGCTTGTTACCATATTCTCACCTGCGGCCTTAAGCGAGTTTCAACTGTTCAGGTTTTGTAAACAGTGACAAACTTTTCCTCAGCAAAAGACTGTGATGAATTTTGGCCTGGGTCCACACTCTGAGGGCACACTCTTCTTTCACGTTGTTTCCTTCAAGACCTTTTGGTGCACAAGTGCCAGCCCTCAAAGGCACAAACATTTTTTGTTCTTCAAAGAAGACAGCACAGTTGTGTCATTTCCTGGCCTGTTGTGGAGCTTGTGGTTTTATAACTTAGCAACCTCAAACAAAGAGGAGTGTGTTAGAATTCACTGCCTCAACTAAAGTCAATAATGGATGCCAATTTGTCCTGTGACCCTAGTGATACAAACAGGTATTGGGTGTACAGAGGGGAAACGGGGAGAGCCCCTCATTCCTGAATCAGCCCCTCAAAACAATAACAGACTCAGCTGCAAAAAAAGAAGATGTCCCATTCATTCTGTTTCCTTTCATAATGATCTTTTCTCTGCCTTTGGAAAGATGGGTGATCAGCTCACATTGCTAAACACTCTGGGATTGCATCCAGATTTAGTCAGAGTAGCCCTTTGGAAAACAAAAGAGCAAAAGTTGGGCACGTCCAAAATCTATCTCCTTTCTTTCTCTTCCTCCCCCCCTCCCACACACACACACACACACACACACACAAACAATTCTAATTGAATAGGGAATTTGAATACCTGAATAGGGCTAGTGTTATTGTAGGCCCCAGATTTCTATTAAACATGGACATTAGTTTCTTAAAGATAAGAGCATCCATCAACAAAACTGAGACCAACCTCTTCAAAGCCAGCAGACTGACTGTGAAGAGACATCCAAGAGCAGCAGAACAAGGTTCTACAGGATCATTTTGAAGTCAGAATTAGTAAAATAAGCAATATTAAAATATTTTGTGTGTGATAATTGGTATTAGATTAATTGCCTACCATATTAAGCATTACAATAAAATGTGTTAAAACCATGAAAAAGTGACTTATGGCTTCATAAATACTAAGGTTAGATCAAGACAGTCAGACTTAGAAAAGACTCATTGAAATCAATAGAACTGAAGTTGTGACTAACTTAAGACCCATTGTTTTTCTACTCTAAGCTTGGGTCCCAGTGGAACCTCCAGTGATGCCTACAAAATTCTCTACTTGCTAACCTCTTCAAAATAAAATAAAATTTAAAACCCTGCAAAATGTTAGGCTAGTCTGTTTTCCTCTCTCTTTATAGCCTATATTCTGTTCTTTATTTCACTTCCACTCCTTTAGCCTCAGTGCTTCTTTTCCCATTTTGCTGTTTCTCCTCCCACCCAGCCTCTGGCTTCCCTATTTCTCTCCCATGTTGCAGCTGAGTTCATGGTCGATTGTAGAGTGAGCTCCACCAGCATCCCACAGCATCCGTTCTGTGTCCAATCATGTCCTCCATGGACTGTATTTTGAGGTCACAGAAGTTCTGCACATTCCCTACAGTGCCCCTTGGTCCAAAAAGGTTGGGGTCTCCTATCCTGCACATGACGAGAGCTGGATTTGATTTTACTCCTCTGAAGTAAATTCCACCAAGCTCCCCACAGGTAAATAGGTATAGGCTTGCAGCTTTACAGTGTGGTAGGTTCTTCTGTGGGTTAGCTGCCAACACAATTCTGAAATTCTACCTGTCTCTGAGAGAGCTGCAAAGAAGATTTAAAAGGACAGAAGCAATGCCTTTACTTCCAGACACATAATAATTCATGTCAAGTGTCACTCAGCATCATTTGTGTGATTATGAAAAAGAGGAGGCATTGGTGAGGCTGGGATGAGAGGCAGAAAGAGGTGCAGCTACACACACACACACTCCCACTCACTCTACATTGGTGATGGGGGCTGGATCCCTGAGAAGATGACACTCTTGTGTTGGTGGGTGGTGGAACCTCTTCCAGTCTGAAGGCCAAATTCATACTAAAGACACTCCTGGGGCTACAGTGCAATGATGGGCCAAAGGCAGCAGGGTCTGTGGCCAGATACTAGGAATACCATGTATTTGGCTTAAAGGTCTTACCTGGGCCTCAAGAATTAAGC